ATTACATGGTTCTTTAGAGATTTGATGCTGGACTATGAAATTTGTTGCTATTTGGGCCTTAATCGGAAGAATTGATATGATCTGCGATAGATTATGACGTAATTAATTTCATTGGTGGTCCATATAACATCTCCACCAAAATCTGTGATTAATTTTGCCTGAGGCTATTGGTTTGATTTTTCTATTTGTCATATCATTTGGTTCAGCTGACGATATGATCTCATGATATCATCTCAAATATTTTCGGCTGATTTCTCTTCTCTCATCTGCACTTTACCACCACTTCTTTTTATTGACGATTTAATTTGCGAACTTAATTTAATTCGCTGTATTGTGCTTTGAGTCATGGATTGAATTTCAATTAATTTAATTATCTTTTTGAGAGGTTAATTAATTTTATCCAGGTGGTAAACACCTGGGGAAGTAATTGTACAGAATGGAGGAAGTTATGAGGAAGTACGGGGAAGTTCGGGGAAGTCTGGGGAAGTTCGCGGAAGTACTGGAAGTCCATGGAAGTACGGGGAAGTACGGGGAAGTTCGAGGAAATACGGGGAAGTATATGGGAAGTAAAGGAGAAGTACTCATTTGTTTATAAGATGCGAAATGTGACAGAAGGTGTCCGGAGAGGTAAAATCTGGTAAACACTTGAAAAGTAATAAGGCAGTTATTTCTGAATGCATAAAGTAGTCAATAATGAGAACTGTCACGCTGTCACTTTTAGAAATCACTACCCGAAATTTCGCTCAATAAACGTTCAGATAAGTTCTCTAAAATGAATAATTGCATCTATCCGTCATTTTCAGAGAAATTACATACTTAAAATTATCACAATTTGAAAAAAATCGAACAAAATTACTCTTTGCTCCCCGGCATGAGAAGTATTGATTTGAGAAAAATTTAAAATTTATATAATGATTTATGATCAAAGTGCAAGGTTCCACAATAATAAAACACATGGGCATTAAAATTCATTTCTAATTTAATACTTTTATTAAATACAGCGAGTAAAAAAAAACCAGACTAACAAGAGACTGATAATTTAATGCTCATGCCTGCTAGTAAGATGTAGGTATGGTGTTATCCCTCATAAAGCATAAACCTTAAGATTTACGAAAGGGCCGGCACATACCTACAAATTGGTTAAAAGGTGATGTAACTTTTTTATGTTCTATTAAAGTAAGCCATAATTCTGATAATGAGGGCATTTAAGATTTGACGATAGTTAAGTTGGATTATTGCCAAATACATACTATCCGTGCAAAGGTTACCTTTAAATTGACTAATTTTTGTGTACTGTAAGCTACGAAGTATAATACAAGATAATATAAAAAATATTAACAATTAAGGAAACGTATCAATCTGTTTTCTACTTTAACTAAAACCAGCGAGCTGTAGTCATAGAACGTATAATAACCGCATTATTTCAATTTCAAGCATACGTGTAGCTAATGCAATAAACGTAAAGGAAGTATGTTACGCTATAGGTACGTTATTGAATCAAAACGTGCACACGAAAAAAAGCTCGACACTTTCCCTTAGGCACCGCAGGGAACGCATTGTAAATTTCAGTCCTTTGAAATTGTAGTTCAGTAAATGTATTTCGTTACACTTCAATAAAAATTCAATTTGAAATTTTTCCTTCAAGTAATTGAATTTTGATTTTTAATTATAGAAAATAAATGTGTTTGCCCATCTCATCAATAAAATTAATTTTGCTTACAGTGGTATTTAATTAAAATCTTTAATTTGAATTTATCGGGGAGAAAAACACACAAGGATCTCTTGGTAAATAACACTGTAAGTATGCAAACTTGTATTCAATAACTTTACTGACCTGACCAACTTAAAATTTCCCATATTCCAGTTACTACACCTGTAATATGTGCAAAAGGGCAATTTTCCAAATTCTTGAGCATATTTTGTAGAAGCGACATAAATAAGAACGTGTTCGGAAACAGATGATCGAAAACAAATCAATTTGAGTTCTCAGATTATAAGTAATTCATTAGAAACTTTAGAACATTTATTTCGTCTTTATCTTCTTTACGACTTTTCTTTTAAAACTCTTGCACAAGCAGATATATCGTCGTTAACTTTCACAATCCAGCTGCAAATTCCTGATAGCGCGCTTTACGCTCACCTTGATGGAAAATTGTGATTTAACAGACTTTGCTTTCATTGTAGATTTTACAAAAAGGAAATACTTTATTATCCTGTGTAGAGGAATTGATCCAGTAAACAGCGCTAATAAATTTAGATTGTTATTGACCATGAAGTTGGAGGTTTAGGGTTACTGGCTTTTTGGCCTCATTCTACACTATGATCTTTAAATATATTCCTTTTCGCGTATCAGAGAAACGAAGCAAGTCGTGGGCAGTATAAGGAATGCCACTGGTTCCCAAACTAATATTTAATATAACTTTACAAGCAATAACATCAAATAAGCTGTTCAGTGATGTTCTACCCCTAGTTTACCCTAGAAATAATATACCAGATGACCCGAAAAGAACTGTATTTACGGAAACCCAAGCCAAAATTATTTATAACTTTAATCTCCATTTTACTTGAATCTAGTAGTACGTAAGTAGTAATCTGCAAGGTTACTAAAAATTTGACGCTTTACATTTAAACTATATCATCAATAATATATGATCGTTTTATATCCTAATTCTAAAACTTCCAAGACTACACAGTTTGGTGATTCTTTGACAGAGATACATTCGCAGTTCCGCTTTTCTAATTTACATGTTTTTACAAAAATACTTGCCTTCTTTTTTTCATAATATAACCGTACGTCTTTATGATGTGATCAAGATATATTGTTCAATCACAGATTAATCTGGGATTAATCTAAAATTAAACAATATTAATTAAGTAATTCATGTAACAAGTAGGTATTAAGACATCATTATTATGCATAGATATAAAGCAGGTCAATTGAGTAAGGCATGAAAATGCAAATAATAGAATAATAGTATCGCTGAGCTAGGTAAACAAATGGTAGAACTAGGACAATAATTTTGTATATAAACGTATAAATATTATGAATAAACCAGTATTATAGCTTAGGCTGTTCTTACTCATTTGGGGTGTAAGGTTCCGAGTCTACAATTTGGCACAGTGACGGGTGCCGCCTTACAATCCACCCCAAAACTATCTTAATCTCATACCGAGATTAAACATGGTCCTTCGAGCCAACAACGGAGCCAGCCATTGAAGATCTTCGAAGCCGGCAAAATTAGCGGAGTCAGCGTCCATTGAAGCTGAGCATCCATTGAAGCTGTCAACATACAACATAAAATCAAGAAACCTGTGAGACCCAAAGAAGAAAGCGGTGCAGCGGGTAAGAAAAATTTATCAAGAAGTCTGCGAGGCCCACAAAAAAGGAGCGGCGTCGCCGATAAGAAGTACCACGGAAATCTACCCCATATTATAAGGATTTACGACCCTTATAGCAAAAAAGTAACAAAAAGGAAACAGCGGGTAAGAGATTTATATGGTTTTAGATAACGCACGTTCATGCAAACGTCGAGAAAGAAAAACTGATTGTGAAAGGAGCCACACCATCACAATCGAATAAACTGCGAGAGGAAAAAATCCTACAGCAGTGTCCGGAAAGAATAAACCCGGAGCCAAAATGGAAGAGATGAACAGATTAGCGGCCAATCAGGGTGAGATTGGCAAAGCTATGGAGAAAATGCTCGCAAATATGAAAAAAGATTCGTCATCTCGGAAGACGCAGGCGTACATAAAGGAACGCCAATCAACATTAGAAAAATGGTGGCGGGAAGCAACCAACACCCACCAGGAAATAGTGAAGCTGCAAGTAGAGCAGCATGACTACCACGCATCGAAGTACTGGGAACAGCTAGGTAAGATGTACAATCACATTAAAGGATACCTAGAAAATCTGGAAAAAAATCTAACAACATCCAAACAAGAAGGGGTGTGCGACAAACAGTCGAATATCCCTATGGAAGGAGTATACGACGAACAGGCACGGCGGTTAAAGATGCACCATTTAACAACATCACTTCAACAGATAGAGGAGAAGTTACACCTGGAGACCAGCGGCGTTCAACTCAACTTATGGCAGGAATCATGCGGAAGCCAATGGAAGGATATAAGAAGTCTACAAGAAGATATACAGGTACACGAAACCCAGTTTCAGGATATCGCCGACGTAGAACACGAGTTCGAAAAGATGCGACAGTGGTACGAAAAAACAAATCTGGCAATCGGCATTAAATTAAAAACCGTCAGTCACGAAGAAAAGAAATGCAGCATCAAGTTACCTGAGATGAAGCTACCCGTTTTTAGCGGTGGATACGAGCATTGGGTAACGTTTCAGGATATATTCGAAAAAGTAATACACGCCAGCAAAACGGTATCAGCCACGGAGAAGATGCAGTATCTGAAGAGTCACGTCACGGGGGAAGCATCAAGGTTAATCCAGTACCTCCAAATAGCAGAATGCAACTACGATACAGCGTGGAGCATTCTCAAAAATCGATACAATAACGAAAGGCTAATAGTAGGGAAATTAATCGATAAAATTTTAGATTTTCCCAAAATTGAGCAGGAGTCGGCAGACGCCATTAGGAGATTACATGACACCACACACGAGTGTCTGAAAGCGATCAGCAATCAAGGGATAGAAACCATAGCTTGGGGTCCAATAGTAGCGCGAATCATAGCACGAACATGGGATGCAGAGTCAAATAAAGTATTCGAGCAGTCCCTAAAAACGCCAAACAAAACACCATCTCTACAGGAGCTGATGGAATTCCTTAAGATGAGATTCCAATCATTAGAAGTCCCAGGCCCGGAAAGTTCAACATGGGCCAATCCAAGGACACCAAAGATGGCAGAACAATCGTCAGCAGGGGTGTGCGTACTGCAAACAACAGCACAAACTAGGTGACTGCAATAAGTTCAAAGAGTTGTCACCAGCAAATAGACTGGGATTCGTGAAGGAGAGGCAGTTGTGTGTGAACTGCATGAATCACAATTGCAACAGCAAATGCCGATCGTTTCGACGCTGTGCAACGTGCCAATATCCACATCATACAATACTACATCAAGATTACGAGAAGTCCCTAGTCCAGAAGCCAGCAGTACATGCGTCAACAGCTAAAGAGGTGAAGACCGGAATCGCGGGGAACAATGAAGTCTTGTTGGCAACCGCATTAGTAAGAGTGGAAGACGTTATGGGTGAACTCCACGTACTACGAGCATTGGTGGATCCAGGGTCTCAGGCATCCTTTATAACCGAGCAGGCAGCACAAGTGCTAAGGCTACCCAGGCAGACAGTACGGGCAGAAGTTAGCGGCTTAGGGAGGTCAGAACCTACGAAGGCAACATCCAAGATCACCATCCAGCTACGACCACGTCATTCAAGCACGTTCACATTAGCAATGGACGTAGTAATTTTGAAGAGGATCACAGGGGAGCTTCCGAGCAAGTCGTTCGAGTTCAACACCGATCGATGGAAAAACCAACTGCTGGCTGACCCCACTCTCAACAAACCAGGTCCCATAGACATTCTTCTGGGGGCAGAAGATTACGCCAACATCATAATGGATGGCATAAGGAAAGAAGACAGCTGCTTGGCCCAGAACTCAGAATTGGGATGGATCCTGTCAGGGCAAATACACACCCCAAAGAGACATAATGTGACACTAATCAGCATGGTGTCGCGAGCAACAAAGAACACACAGTTAGAAAGGTTCTGGGAGCTAGAAGAAATACCAGGCTCAGCAGGGCCGTCCAAACAAGATACAGAGTGTGAACAGCACTACCAGGAAACCACCGTAAGAAACACTGATGGAACTTACACAGTAAGAATACCGTTCAAAGAGGAACCGTCGGTATTGGAAAGTGCCAGGCCAGTGGCGGTTGCAAGATTAGTACAATTAGAAAAGAAGTTCCTTGTCAACACCAAGTTGGAGAAGGAGTACAAAGCCTTCATGCAAGAATACTTGGAACTGGGGCACATGAAATTAGCCACCAATCCACCACACCACAGGAGAAACGAATTTACATTCCTCATCAAGCAGTAATCAAAGAGTCCAGTGCGACGACCAAGTTGAGGGTTGTTTTCGACGCATCCTCAAGACCGGCAAAGGGGAAGAGCCTAAATGAAGTCATGCACGTAGGTCCAAGGCTACAACAAGATCTTTGGAGTCTACTAGTCAGATGGAGAAAACATCGCTATGCCATCACAGCGGACGTAGAAAAAATGTATCGGCAGATCAAGCTGGACAAAAGAGATCATCGGTATCACACGGTTCTTTGGAGGTTCGCACCGCAAGAACAAATCAGGGAATACCAGCTTACAACGGTCACATATGGGACAGCATCAGCACCATATTTGGCGGTAAGAACGCTGCAACAATTGGCCAGAGATGAAGCACATAACTACCCAAAGGCGGCGTCAGTAACTCTCAGTGACTATTACGTGGATGATGTGTTAACAGGAGCCAACACGATAGAAGAAGCAAAACTACTGCGGGGAGAGTTAATGAGCTTACTGAATGCAGGAGGATTTACACTGAGAAAATGGGCCGGAAATCATCCAGATTTATGGAAAGAAGATCAGCGAGTACCTGAACCACTAGAAATCAGAGAGGACGAAGCAAGAACCTCATTAGGGATGAGATGGTTCCCACAACAAGACGTATTCAGGTTCAGAGTGGAAGTCAGCGACAAGTCCATGACAAAGCGCAGCATAATGTCAGATATCGCAAAGATATTCGATCCGCTAGGATTAGTCAGCCCAGTGACAATAACAGCAAAATTATTAATTCAAGAGCTATGGATGAAGTCAGTCACATGGGACCAGGAAGTACCGGAAGATATAGCGGAAAAGTGGACAAAATTTCGTAAGGAGGTAGTTCTGTTACAAGAATTAAAGATCCCAAGATGGATTCAGCACACAGACGAAGAGCTACAGCTACACGGATTCTGCGATGCTTCCGAAAAAGCGTATGGAGCTGCAGTATACACCAGATCGAAGGATGGAGAGGTAACATTACTCACATCAAAGACGAAGGTAGCACCAATCAAGACGAAAATAACCATACCTAAATTGAAGTTGTGCGCGGCAGTTTTATTAGCAAGACTACTGGAGAAAGCAGCTACAGCTCTGGAGATCCCAAACATCACAATATATGCATGGAGTGATTCAACTATAGCGTTAGCATGGATAAAAGGAGACCCTAATCGATGGAAATCATTTGTGACTAATCGAGTTACAGAGATAAACAAGCTCGTACCTCACCACCACTGGAAGCACGTTCGCACAGAGGAAAACCCAGCCGACATCTTATCACGGGGATACCCAGCATCAAAAATTCAAGCCAACCCAATCTGGTGGAACGGACCCGAATGGTTGAAAACAAGCGAATGGCAGGAGTATCAAACACCGAAAGTCACAACGGATCAAGAGATGAAACGATGTTTAGTAGCCACAACGTCGTTGAAAGACGATAGTATCATAAGTCGGTTCTCATCGTTATCAAGATTACTAAGGGTAATAGCCTACTGCAATAGATTCAGCAGGGCCTGCAGAAAACATCCAAGCCAACAGACGTGCGTAAAAGTAGAGGAGCTGGAAAGGTCGATGAATCAGCTAATTGCACTGACGCAAAGGTTGGAGTTTGGGAAAGAAATAAAAACACTTCAAAGGCAGCAACAGTTGGAAAACAGCAACAAGTTAACATCACTAAACCCATTCGTGGATGGAGAAGGAATGCTGCGAGTAGGAGGAAGACTGCACAATTCGAGGTTGGCATTTAACGAAAAACATCCCATAATACTACCACCAAAACAGCAGTTAACACACCTGGTGATAGTGGACGCACATATCCGGACCTTGCACGGAGGAGTCCAGCTCACAAGCGCATACTTACGAAGGAAATATTGGATCATAAATGGCAAGAAAGCAGTAAAAGCGATCATCCACAGCTGTACAACATGCATTCGGTACAGGAAGCAAACAATGCATCAGTTAATGGGACAGTTACCTACGGCCAGGGTAACACCAAATCCACCATTCACACACACCGGGATAGATTATGCCGGTCCAATCAGCATACGAGCCTGGAAAGGAAGAGGTCACAAGGCGTACAAAGGATACCTAGGTATATTCGTCTGTTTGTCAACCAAAGCAATACATCTGGAAGCAGTTGGTGACTTGTCGACAGAAACATTTCTGGCTGCTTTAAGAAGGTTCATGGCAAGAAGAGGTCATTGTGCGCACATATACTGTGACAACGGGCCGAACTTCGTAGGAGCCAGCAATTTACTTCAAGCTGAGATACAGACCGTGATGGAGGAAGTTGGGAAGAAACAGGAAGGCACACTCGGAATTAAATGGCATTTTATACCAGCAGCCACACCACATCATGGAGGGCTGTGGGAAGCTGGAGTAAAATCAGTCAAGCATCACCTACGAAGAGTTATTGGCGAAGCGAATCTCACATACGAAGAGCTTACAACCCATATATATCAGATCGAGGCGTGCTTGAACTCGAGACGATGGGATGGGAAGGTACGGGTAGTAACGATCCGCAAACAAGAAGGAAAGAGCAGCAGAAGAAGTGTACAGCAGCTAATAACAATCCAGTCAAATCCAGAACGAGCACAGGAATCACAGATGATGGAGTCACTATACGCCACCCCAGGTACCAGTCAGTCGTTGCGGCCGGGGCAAAATGTTCAGTTGTCAACTGTACATACACCATTGCGGCCGGCAGAATGTTCAATCACAGATTAATCTGGGATTAATCTAAAATTAAACAATATTAATTAAGTAATTCATGTAACAAGTAGGTATTAAGACATCATTATTATGCATAGATATAAAGCAGGTCAATTGAGTAAGGCATGAAAATTCAAATAATAGAATAATAGTATCGCTGAGCTAGGTAAACAAATGGTAGAACTAGGACAATAATTTTGTATATAAACGTGTAAATATTATGAATAAACCAGTATTATAGCTTAGGATGTTCTTACTCATTTGGGGTGTAAGGTTCCGAGTCTACAATTTGGCACAGTGACGGGTGCCGCCTTACAATCCACCCCAAAACTATCTTAATCTCATACCGAGATTAAACAGATATATATTCTTTTTCCGTTCTATAAGTGCTTTTTATATTGAATTAAATATTTATTTATTTTAAAAATGGAACTTAATTTAAGAAGAGTACGAAAATATTACTTCCTATACATTATTTGCTTCTGAGACACTTCGCCCCCCACGTTTCGCTCCCACAGGTTTTGCCCCCGTTACTATTCGCCTACGCACGTTTCGCGCCGAAAGTGTACAAGGTGTTTTAGTTGCGGCTTTACTATGTGATGTACATGTGGTCAATTACATAACACATAATTAGAGGGAAAAGCCAGATTGTGGACGCCTAACTAAGGGTATCCGAACAATGGGCCTTGCGGGTCACCTAACCGATCGCTGGTAATTGTTACAACAAAAGACTAAGAAAAGGTTGAGGGTACATCCCAAGGGGTAAACCACTGAGATATAATGTGTAGGTACATTAGATTTCAAAAGTGTAAGCAAATTCCAGACTTCCACTTGAATTCGATTGAATTCCAAAGAATTTTATTGAATTCCAAATAATTCCATTAAATTCGAAACAATTCCATTGAATTCCAAAGAATTCCTTTGAATTTCACAATTCCCAAAAAGAATTCCAGTGAAAAGTTTATGTCGATACATATTAATGTTGTCACTATAAAGCTTTTAATAAAGTTAATATTTATTTAGGTGCCTACGTATTATAACGATTTTCTTTGTTTATAACGTTTAAGGAAAAGTCGACAGAAAGCGAGGGGAAAAGTTTACTTTCATGATCGCGAAGGTCAATGACGCAATAATTTAATGAATTTTGAGTCAAGCTCTTAAAACGTGTGGTTTCAGTATCTGAATGTGTCATCATAGCGTTGGGCGGTAAGTGCTGAATATTTCTGTATCTTAACTAAGCATAAATCAGCAGCTATTCTTCAAAGACTAAAACCTGCAAACTAACAAAATTTAAGAATGGCACTTGCCGAGTGCTAACAGAAGTGACTACTTCTTTCTCTGTCACGCTCCTTCGCTCCCTTCTTTTTGCCGCGATGTATTAAGATGTAAGAAGTAGTCGTTTGGCGCCCTCCGTGAATTAATTCCCGCCTAAATTGCCACGTATTTTAAAATTATTTTAAAGATCTTTTTTTGGGTACAGCCCGAGTTACAGCCTACCAACACTGTCAGAATTTATTTAAAAAATGTACAAATAGTGTTAAATTAAAAGTTAAAAGTAAATAAGTTAAAAAGTCATTATGCCAACATAAACGACGAGAGCGTATTTTCCTCCTAATTAATTGATTAATTAATGCTAGGACCGAGACAAAATACCGGTAAGGCTGACAAAAATTGTCGAGTAACCCTAATTGTGCGTATTCTTCTACAAGTAATGATTGAATCTCGTTTTTGTACATGGAAGTGCTGAAAGGAATTAAAAGAAACTCTGCACGATCTCCGTCGGCGAAACAAAGAATTCTTTCCAGGCGGGAGGTTAAGGAATCCCAAGTTCTCGCGAGGCACGATACGTTGATTTCTTGGCACTGCAAACAAAACTCTCTCTAAATCGCTCAACGACAGACTCAGAAAACCGAGCGCGACCTGGAGATTTCTTATGAGTAATGCTACAACCACTCCGAGCGAAATTCTTATGCCAGGAGTAAACTGTAGGCATACTAGGAGAAGTTCCTTTTCCTACTCGGTACCAAACTTACGTTCCCTTCTTCCATCCAAAACACGCAACGTGCCTGCCATTTTAGGTTTGTTTGTTACTGTTACTCTAAGTGGCGGAATTCAGTACTACAACAATACGTGACACCTCAATCACATCTGTAAGTCTTCTTAATAAAATTCTATATGTAAGGAAAGTCTTTTGTAATTACCCTGTATAATCAACAATTTTGATGTGTAGTATCTACAGGGTGACGTTTTAGGTATGTTCACCACACAAGAGTGGAAAACTTATTCGGGACATAATTTTATCTACGTGAACGAGAAGCAACTGTGTAACATTATTATTAAAAAAATAAGGTATCGGCGAATTTTATATTTTATCTCCGATGACTGAGCGGGAAAAATAGTAATATTAGAATTTTAATAACAGATAAACATTGTTACGCAAAGACGCCTACACGCAGGAGGAACGCAATATAATGCTCAAATTTTAAACGTCGAATGAATTTTCCTGTTTTCCAATATTCTGAATAGCAAACGAAACTCGCATTGTCTAAATATCATAGTTTGAGACATTTATTTGCCTGAGGATATGTGACGACGCATTGTAAATTGAATAGCATCCTCCAAGGCTACTTTTCCTATCACATACTGATGAATAGAATCCATTCGTTGAAATGCTTTATAATTAGTGTAGATGCAAACTGCTCATAATCTAAGGGTAAGGCAATTATTTTCATATTAATCATTGGAAATGGGCAATAAGAAATTGATACGTTTTTTAGTCTATGCTATACCAATGATGGTTTTTTAAATGGATAGTATCCAATGGATTTTGATTAATAACATATTATTATGTGTGTTATATTTCGATCAAGGTTAATCAACGGGGTGAGATTTTTTTACCATTTAGATACATCAACATCGGTCATATGTTTAATTAATTAACTTACATTAAAACTTGCTGTCATCAGCGAATATGAGATCTACTTACCTTGCTTCTACAATAAATAATAATTTTTTATTCCCTGTGCCACCAAAAATATATTCATGGGTTTAATGTAAGGTGGCCTTTTAATCAGAAAAAAAACTGTTTGTTTTCGTAGAAATGTTATAGTATAGTTTACACAAGATAATTCCAAGTTAATTTGGCGTACGTAACAAAACACGCGTCATGTCGCAAGTTGTTGATTGGTTTATCGAGTTACCAAGCGGGCTGTCTTGTTTCATTGTTGAACAATTTTCGTCAAAAAGAAGTCAGTATGAGCTGCCGTTCCATTGATGGTATCGTCCACGTTTAACGGACAGCCGTTCAGCCAGATATCACAATCAACGTCTGTATAACCAGTTTTCTGTAGTTTTCGCTATCCAGATAATTTGTTTAGGGAGATGTCATTTGAAATTTTAAAAAAATGTGACATTTTCGATAAAGTACTTAAAAAAATTATGTTACAGTAGAAGGTCTTACTCTTTGCCTCTATTCGCCGGCACGATTTAGTTGAATACGCCATTATGCTCATCTCACACATCTAAAAAGCATTTGCCTGTTGAGGGCCCAGAACAAGAAAGGGATAAAAATAAAAAATAAAATAAAAATTTTTGCGTGTTTCTTTTTCTAACTTTAAATAAATGTATGTTATTTTCTTACAATCTTGCAAAAAATAAAGCATATTATATTATTAAATAAAAATAAATAACTAAATCAAATTTATGTGTTGAATTGATTACATTGCATTGCTATTGAGTATAAATTTAGCTATTTAATTGTTGTACCGTAAAATATTTTTCTTACATCACTTTTATGCTGTTATACACGATTGTAAGGACAGTCGTAGTCGAACCAAATTTTGCTTTTACTAATGCAAGGTCGTTCGAATAATTGATTCTTTTTGAGTATTCATTACAGTTTTAGTATACGATTATCCTCCCGTGTCAGATGTTAGCATTGCTACTACGCAATACTTTATGTGCGGCGCGATTTACTAACCCTTTTATTTGTTTGTTTGTGTTGATTTCTGTTACAGAAAATGTTGAACGCGCCCTCCTAAGCTTAAAAGGTAGCGACCCGAAGTGCAAAGGTAAATGTTGTTATTTTTGTCGATTCCGCCGTTTTAACGTTTGATTACATATTGTCTTTCGATATAATCGAATTGTTATTATTACATTTCCTTGCGAGTCCAAGGTAGCTGACTACCAATTTGAATTGGCACCGTGTGATTTCTCCGCATCTTTGGAAACTTTTGTATTGTTCTCTTCATGATATATTTTAACAAGATGTGTGAGAAATAAAGGCTATTATTATTACTTAACCATAATATACACGTATACACATACGTGTTGATCCCCTTTTTACTAAAAATGAAATTAAATTTGAATATTGACATAGCAGATCAATGTATTACAGTGACCTATTTGTAATACTGTTGAGATTATTTCATTAAAACGCCATCGATTGTAACGTTAATTATTGTTCATTTTGTATTCCTATGAATTACTTTATTCCTTTAGCTTTTTAGAACAAGAACCAGGATCTTTTAGTCTGTCTTATTTCCCCCTTTTGATAAGTATTCTCCTCTCTCTTTTGACATTTACTGAAGACTAAGTGGCGCCTATTCTTTGCTGATATGTATAAGAACCCCGATATTAATCCCGACCCACATCTACTTTGCCTGAGGTTACCGTGTTCTTATATCAAGGTAATTTTTTTTACTTTTGGCCAAAGTGAACGTAAAAATATCTAGGGCGTAGTTTTTTGTATATCACAGCTCTAGTTCCAAGCAAAACGTAATCAACGGCGCTTAGTGACATAAGTTACGGTAAATACTGATAGTAATGCTTAAAATGTACTTACAGGAGTGTACGGGTAGTGAATGTCTGTGTGCTCGGTTGTTGGTTCTTGATTTCCATGGATAGAATTCGAAACTGGTATTGTAGGGCCACATATGTCTGGACCAGTCTGAAAGAAAAGAGAAATGTAAATATTTTGTCCAATAAATAACTGCATAGGTAATGCTTGCAAGTAC